TACATACATACATACATACATACATACATACATACATACATACATACATACATACATACATACATACATACATACATACATACATACATACATACATACATACATACATACATACATACATACATACATACATACATACATACATACATACATACATACATACATACATACATACATACATACATACATACATACATACATACATACATACATACATACATACATACATACATACATACATACATACATACATACATACATACATACATACATACATACATACATACATACATACATACATACATACATACATACATACATACATACATACATACATACATACATACATACATACATACATACATACATACATACATACATACATACATACATACATACATACATACATACATACATACATACATACATACATACATACATACATACATACATACATACATACATACATACATACATACATACATACATACATACATACATACATACATACATACATACATACATACATACATACATACATACATACATACATACATACATACATACATACATTACATTACATTACATTACATTACATTACATTACATTACATTACATTACATACATACATACATACATACATACATACATACATACATACATACATACATACATACATACATACATACATACATACATACATACATACATACATACATACATACATACATACATACATACATACATACATACATACATACATACATACATACATACATACATACATACATACATACATACATACATACATACATACATACATACATACATACATACATACATACATACATACATACATACATACATTACACATACATACATACATACATACATTACATTACATTACATTACATACATTACATTACATTACATTACATTACATACATACATACATACATACATACATACATACATACATTACATTACATTACATTACATTACATTACATTACATTACATTACATACATACATACATACATACATACATACATACATTACATACATACATACATACATACATACATACATACATACATACATACATACATACATACATACATACATACATACATACATACATACATACATACATACATACATACATACATACATACATACATACATACATACATACATACATACATACATACATACATGCATACATACATACTTATGTACATGCATGCATACATACGAGAGAGGGAGATTGGGAAGAGAGAGGCTTGGGGGGATGGGGAGGATGGGAGCAGAGGGAGGGAGAGCACACAAGGGAGACAAGGAAGAGAGGAAGAAGGAGAAAAGGGAGAGGACAATGTCGGCGGACTGAGCCGGAGGCTCTAAAGTTTGCAGATCAACAAGAAGTCAATTGAAGGTATCAAGTGAATCTGCTGCTTGAATTAGGACTCGCCACAAGTTGTCTCGCAACACATCCACTCTGAACGCAGCCTTGCGGGCTAACGCGTTGACAGCCAATGAAAGCAACCAAACTCTCAATGTCTTTTTGGGCGACGTGGCATGCAAGTCTGGGCTTCCGGCTGTTCACGGGCCACCCTGGCCGGACGCGAATCACCGGCTCTTGGGTAGAAGGGTCGCACCAGCCATCTGTGGCATCAGTCCAAGAGACCCGCCGGCGGCCCGTAGGACAAAGAAAGCAAACAATTTCCACAAGCCAAAAAGTGAACCCAATGGTCCGACGGTCCAGGAAGCCAAGTAAGCATATTCAACCAAGCCCAGCGCTCACCAAGGCAATCATGTTTAATGCCTCGGACATTTCAATCATGTGCTTTGCAGGTTGTGCAAGTTATGCTGTGAGTTGGTGGCCGAACCCACCAATCATGACAGAGTTTGCCCAAATGGAACCCACGTCGCAGGGGTTCAGTCGAGAAGAGATGTGTGCAGCTCCGCGGATCATTTCCACCAGGGTCCGGAAGCCCGAAATGCCAACAGTCCACGCCAATCTGTTGAGAGCCACAGACATGCGCCCCCGGAAAACTAGCATGGAGCCACAAAAAGTTGCCCCTGAAAAAACCAACTCCTCCAAAACGAAACCAATCGCGCGTTGGATCTTTTTTGGTTTCCATCTTGATCAAAGGACCCGTCTCGTGCCTAGTGCCGTTGAAGGCGAGCGGCCCCGCTCGCTTCAGCATCTCCCGGCTGTCTGGCGTCAAAGGCCTGGCTCGCCGTCCAGCTGATGTGGCTCCAAATCTGCGAAACCAAACTCAGCTTCCCTCCAAGAGTAAGGTGGGGTTTCCCATTTGCCTAGTTGTTCCCTTCTTCTTCTTTTTTTGCGGAGCCTGCGTCGCTAGGAACGCAAGGATGTACAGCACTTTAATCTTCAAGCTGCCAAGCCAACAAGAGCTGCCTCGTCATGAGCCGATTCATTCTCATTGGCTACTTCTGCCCCAATTCTGCCACTCACTGCCTCATGGCTGGCCGGATGGGTACGCGGCCTTGTAGCCTCAGCGACCCCCTGCACCCAATGCAAGTATGGCAATGCCATGCTTGAGCTGCCAAAACCTGACGCACGTTGATTGGCAGAGGCGTGCCGCTTCGGCACGCGCCCTTTTTCCGCTCGCTCTTTCGCCTTCTGACCGCGCAGATTTCCCTGGACTCCCTGCAGCCCTGTATTGCGCTACCCAAACACCTGTTTTCATCTGCGTGTCTCTGTGTGTGTGTGTCTGACTGTCTGTGTGTCTGTGTCTGGTGTCTGTGTGTCTCTGTGTCTCTGTGTGTGTGTGTGTCTGTGTGTCTGTGTGTGTGTGTGTCTGTGTGTGTGTGTCTGTGCGTGTGTGTGTGTCTTGTGTCTGTGTGTCTGTGTGTCTGTGTGTCTCTGTGTGTGTGTGTGTCTGGTGTCTGCGTGTTTCTCTGTGTGTCCCTGTCTGTCTGTCTGTCTGTGTGTCTGTGTCTGGTGTCTGTGTGTCTGTGTGTGTGTGTGTCTGTGTCTGTGTGTGTGTCTTGTGTCTGTCTGTCTGTCTGTCTGTCTGTCTGTCTGTCTGTCTGTCTGTCTGTCTGTCTGTCTGTCTGTCTGTCTGTCTGTCTGTCTGTCTGTCTGTCTGTCTGTCTGTCTGTCTGTCTGTCTGTCTGTCTGTCTGTCTGTCTGTCTGTCTGTCTGTCTGTCTGTCTGTCTGTCTGTCTGTCTGTCTGTCTGTCTGTCTGTCTGTCTGTCTGTCTGTCTGTCTGTCTGTCTGTCTGTCTGTCTGTCTGTCTGTCTGTCTGTCTGTCTGTCTGTCTGTCTGTCTGTCTGTCTGTCTGTCTGTCTGTCTGTCTGTCTGTCTGTCTGTCTGTCTGTCTGTCTGTCTGTCTGTCTGTCTGTCTGTCTGTCTGTCTGTCTGTCTGTCTGTCTGTCTGTCTGTCTGTCTGTCTGTCTGTCTGTCTGTCTGTCTGTCTGTCTGTCTGTCTGTCTGTCTGTCTGTCTGTCTGTCTGTCTGTCTGTCTGTCTGTCTGTCTGTCTGTCTGTCTGTCTGTCTGTCTGTCTGTCTGTCTGTCTGTCTGTCTGTCTGTCTGTCTGTCTGTCTGTCTGTCTGTCTGTCTGTCTGTCTGTCTGTCTGTCTGTCTGTCTGTCTGTCTGTCTGTCTGTCTGTCTGTCTGTGTGTGTCTGTGCATCTGTCTGTGTATGTGCCCCCGTGCATGCATGCATGCATGCGTGCATGGAAGGATGGATGGATGGAGGGACGGGTGGTAATGTAATGTCACAATGTGATGCAATGTATGCAGTATACTATATTAACTTCTTTCACTACTGCAGCCTTGGGGGTTGTCAACCCCCGATCAACCAGAAAAAGGGGTTGCCAAGCCAGGACGACAATCAGAAAAATTGAGGGACAGACTCTTGCGGCCATGGAGGAGAAAAAAAAAACAAACCTCGAGGAAACCACAAAACAACAGGAAAGACAGAAGTGCCACAGACTATACGGAAAGCAAGCTCTCAAGGAAACCAGAGAGCTGGACTCGACCAATACAAAGCTCGACTCTGGCTTTCTGGGTTTCGAGGTGTTTCCAGTTTCCTCCAGGGTTTTTTTAACATGGCCACAAGTCTGTGACACTTCTGGCTCTTCTGGTGTCCTCGAGGTCTTTTCAGGCTGTTTTTCATGACCACAAGTCTGTAACACTTTTGGATCTTTGGCTTTATTTTTCTCGTGTTCCTCCGGTTTCCTCAAATTTGTTTCAGTCATGGACACAAGTCTGCGACCAATTCCTTAACCTTAGATTTCAATAATTAAAGCAATAAGAGTTTTTTGGTATCTGTAAAGAGTACTAAAGGCTGGACCACATAATCTACAAATGACTTTATAATTAAACATGTTCGACCATCAAATACTCATTTTTTAACATTTGAAAGGCGAGTGAACTACAGGTATGCAAGAAGTTAGCTCTATCTGGCCTCCTCACTTCCTTTGCGCAAACCACTGAATGGTAGATGTCGGGTTGGGGGCCACGAACTCCACACAAGGTGGACATCTGGAAACCGATCTGTCGCAAAGACCGAACAACACTGTACATATACTAATGTATATATATTTATATATTGTAATGCTAATGTGCATCTACCTTGGCAAAGTGGGAAACACACCTGGACAAAGAGCTGTTTGGTGTGTTAGATGTCGTTTTCACCCTCCCTACGCTGCTGTTCACTCCAGCTTTTACGGTTGGTTCAGGCCCTAGCCTTTGAATGATGACCGGCTTGGACAAAGGTCAAGCCATTTTCCGAGCTCTGTCCAGTTTGACCGGTCAGAACAGTATGTTCGTGCATGCTACTCGTTTGGGTTGATTTAGTTGTCGACGAGCAAGTTTTTGCACCATGACAAACTTTCAGAATATAAATTATACTTGGTGGTACTATGTGCGCCTGTACGTAAGTAGCTTCCACCTGTCATGCGAGGTGAAACTGCGAAGCACAGGTCTGGCGGGAGTCCGGGGGACGCATCTTGCGATCGCATGTCTCAGCTAGCGGGCTCGACCTGACAGCGAGCTGATGGCTGAAACGTGCGGGGATGTCAACGTTTGGTGATCCCACTGGACAGCTGCAAAGGAACTGGACAGCAGCCATTTGGCAGGGTTTGCATTTTGATATATTCACAAATGCCAATCAAATGCCCACAAACATCAACGACAGCTGGAAGCCATGCAAGCATTGCGCACTGCGAGCCAAAAATGGAAACAGGAGGCCAAGGGCGGCAACAAACATAAAAAGCAACAACTTTAACAGCCGCGTACGCCGAGCTACTGGAACCTCGCAAGCTGCGAACGCTTTGCCCTATGCCTCAACTGTTTTGGCACGGCGCTTCCCACAAAACAGGGCGTCTGGAGCCTCCTCAAGAGAAATTTTGCGTCAGGCGCCATGTGGAGAGAAAACCCGCGCCTCCTCGACCTTGATCTCCAACTGTATTCGCTTGGGTCGAAGGATGTTGAACCTCAAAACCCCCATGAAGCGTTGAAGGGGAAAGGCAGATTTTGAAAAAAACACCGGGCATAATATAAACCTACACCCTACAATATCAACATGCTAGCATGTTCAAAAACTGGTAAGCACATTGGACAATTGCATTTGGCTTTTCACACTTGCTTTGTAGAGATGACAGGTACTTTCATATCATGGGTCCCGACCATGGTGCAACAGGGTTCCATATTTTGGCCCCTACCACCTCACCAAAATGCAACATCATGTTCAAGAGGCGACCAACAAGGTGATCCTCAACTCACCCAACAAGATCTACGGACCCTTGTCCAACAGGTCCCCAAGGCCCACTTGGCCAGAAAGAATCAGTCGACCATGCTCCAGTCAGGGATGCCATGGGCCTAACCCGAGTTGTGAGGCACCTTGATTTCTCAGCTCTGTTTGGTCCACCTGGAAGCAACCTGTTACAAGACCAAGAAGCAACCCTGTTTTCTGTTCAAAGTGCGAGTGTGGCACCACCAGCCATGGGAAAGAAGCAAGAATGGAAAGGCCAGGCTTCAACTTGACGCCAAGCCCCCGCTCCAATCCAAGGTGATGGGAAAAAGGCGCCCTTCTCTGATTTCCCTGGGGAAGCAAGGGGAACTCAACTCCACTTTTCTGCAGATCTCAAAGGGAACGGATCCTTTGAACAGGAGACACGGGCGTCGCGCCGCATGCCGAAGGTTGGCCGAGAGGCTCGTTGCTCCAGCGCAGAGCCACGAGCCCGGCTTTGGGGCTGGTCACAGTGCCGCAGTTCTCGAGATCCAGCGTCTTCCAGGTGCCTTCGTGGAGCACCTGATGGGGCCATGGCTGGATGCCTCCAAGGACAGGGCTGACGGGGTGGAGGGGTTTTCGTGCCCTCCAAAAAATTGGCGAACTCACTTTGAGGGGACCCGCACTTGGCATAAGGAACTGCAGGACCCGGCTATGCTTTGTGACTAGCCGGCTCACCCAGCCTGTGACGCCAAGCGCCCCCCCTCTCAACCTTGCCCGCTGCCTTTGGAGGAAACCAGGAGGGGGAGGGGAAGGGTAAGTGACGGGAATCTGGAAAGTTGGTGGAATGCCCCCCTCTGCTGCAGGTGCGTGGCTTGCCCCTTGAGAACACTGCTTGGGCTGAGGGATTCCTTGTGCCAGGAAGCTGCTTCCAAAGAATCTGATCCAGCTCCTTCTCAAGGGGGCGCCCCATGATTAAAGCAACACGTCTTGCTCTGCAAACTCAGGCCCGAATCCTGGGGTTCTAGCTGCTCATCTTCCCCGAAGTTAAAACAATTTTGGACCGGATTGGATAGATTAAACATGCGTCGACCCCACAGAACCAATGATTTCCCCTCTGACGGCCCAGTTCACCTGAAGTCCTCGCTCTACAAAGCATCCAGAAACGACCGGTTTGCCAAAAATGAGCGAGCCTTTGTGCTCGCGACGCCTCTCAAAACATGTCAACACTCAAGAGCGAAGTGAATATCCGACAAACCTTGATCATGATTCACAAAGGGGCATCCTTGATCATGATTCATGCCAAGATTCTTTAACATGCGTTGTGTGCCATCACTCAAGAGGCGAGAGCTCTTCCTTTCCCCAGCCTTTCCTTCCGAGCCAGAGATCTGATTTTGCTCCGGTCGCCTCCTCGTCCAGTCCCTGGTAGCCGTCCTCCTCGTCCTCCTCCTCGATCAACTCCAAGGCGCCACCGTCCTGAGACATCGTGCAACCCGTGGTGTGGTGGCAAACAACTCGGTTTTTCCCGCGCTGCCCTCAGATCCCCCGCTGAAAGTTTAGCGGAAAAGTGGGTCAAATGGAAACCACTAAACATTAAAAAGCTAAAAGGCCAAGGGGATGGCTGGGAGCCGCCAAGCTTAAAAACCAGCAAAAACATGCCCACAACAGTGAATTTACATAACGCTTTCTGCAATACCAATGGAGAATCCCATGGTCTCAGCGGTTGCTCGACCAGAGACGGTCAATTTTCGACGGTCCGGAGTTTTGGACTCTCAGTGCCTACTGCTTGGTTCACTTTAAAGCCGTTTCGGGACCTCGGCGTCACAGAAAGTGGGGAGGCTTTAGTTCCACAAGCATAACCGTCCTCCACCACCATGCCCGATCGATCGCGGTTGCGCCCGACTGGCCGTTCCTGGGCAGCAGCATCCGGACAATCTTGTTTGTTTGGAAGATTGGGTTGGAATTTTCGGTTGTGTCATGTTGTGTCATCATACCCCAACCAAACCAACAGTAGGCTACCAACAATATTAATACTGCTGTGAGCGACTAAGAAGGGATCCGTTCTTCAGGCACGCCATTTCTCAGCGTCTTGTCTGGGTTGTTCAAAATGAGGGAGGATCCCGATTGTCCGAATCCGTAGATCCAGGACTAAGGAGCAGCTTGCGACGGTTCATGGCCATGCACCCCCTCGATACTCAATGCCTGATGTTTGACGTGTTGTGCACCTTTGAATTTCAAGAGGTTGATCACCATCCACCCAGAGCTGGCAGGACAGCCGATGTGATGAACCTGGCTGGATCGCTTGAAGTAACCTTCACCTCACTGATAACCTGCCGAGCCGCTTTGGACCTTGAGGCAGGTCCTAAGAGCGCGGGCAAGGGGCAAGCCCCCCAAATCTTGAGTCTTCAACTACTAACCTCTCGGTTGATGATAATGTAATATCGGGTGTCCGTTTATTCCGAGAATCCATGGGTTGTTGGCGTGCAAAACTCAAGGGCTGATTGGCCAGCTTGGGTGCAAATATCCGCCACCGTGAAATAACTGACCCCCTGGACAAAGAAGGAACCTTCATGGGTGAAATCGGTGGCAGCTCTTCGTGGGATTGCATTTGCCTCTCGGCCCCACTCTGCATAGAAATATTCTTGCGCGGGTCAATTTTTGTGCGGACATGTGTGGGTGTGTCGTCTTTCGCGGGCACCCCATTTTTGGTGGTTTTAGGGACACCACCAGTCGGGGGCCCTAAAACAGACACCCCCCGGCGGCAAGAGTGGCAACAGTGCTTTGAAGAACTGCCGGTCGCGACTGTTTGTGTAATATGCGTGTGACAGGCGTGCCACGCCGTGCCGTGTCCAATGGTCGTCCGTGAATGCCGCAGTCAGACGCTTGGCAACCAGCAGGATTGCCAAGCGAGTCGATTGCTAGCCTAGGCAACTTGCCACCAAACCTTCGGACAAGCAGCGGAGGCCGGGTTCAGAATCTTGTGCCTGCCAATGCCAACCATGCCGGCAGGTTGCATGCTCTGTCAGAGGGGGATGGCGGTGGGGGGTCTCCTTTTCAATCCACACGGGAGGGGGGTTCCCTGAACATTCAGCCAACAACCAATGGGTGAAACTTGCAGTTTCGCCCAAAGAAACAGGCTGGCCATGAGATTCATGGCTGGGAGTCTGAGTCCCATGTCTGAAGCGCAAACATTGACTGCTTACTTCCCGCACATGGCACAACTTGATGCTTGAATCAATGGTGCACCATATGAGGATTCTTCAAAAGATGTTTTTCTGTGAAAAGGCATCTCCTTGAGCAACACTTGGGCCATGAGTGGCAGCAGGCTGACTACAAGCAAGGTATTACAACGTGTCGCCAGTGTTGCCAAGGACCTGCCAGCGCTTCGCAACCCTCGCTCACAACTTGTTGCAATCTGGCAGCTGAGAGAGGAGAAAAGAGGACGGAGCCAGCTGCCTTTGACACAGACTGAAGGAGAGGGGGTCGTAACCACGACAAAAACGCGATTTTGTTACCATGACAAGGTGCAATGTTACCACGGCAGAAAAAAAGCGTTACAGCGACATGTTTCTTGCGGGCTTATCCCGACAAGCAGGGAAATAGAAAGGAATAAGAAGGCATGAGAAGGTCAATAAGAAGGAATAAGAAGGAATAAGAAGGTCAATAGAAAGGAATAAGAAGGAATAAGAATGTGAATAGAAAGGAATAAGAAGGAATAAGAAGGTGAATAGAAAGGAATAAGAAGGAATAATAGAAAGGAATAAGAAGGAATAAGAAGGTCAATAGAAAGGAATAAGAAGGAATAAGAAGGTAAGAAGGAATAAGAAGGTATTAGAAAGGAATAAGAAGGAATAAGAAGGTCAATAGAAAGGAATAAGAAGGAATAAGAAGGTAAATAGGAAGGAATAAGAAGGAATAAGAAGGAATAAGAAGGAATAGAAAGGAATAAGAAGGAATAAGAAGGTCAATAGAAAGGAATAAGAAGGAATAAGAAGGTGTCAATAGAAATAAGAATAAGAATGTGAATAGAAAAGAATAAGAAGGAATAAGAAGGTCAATAAGAAGGAATAAGAAGGAATAAGAAGGTCAATAGAAAGGAATAAGAAGGAATAAGAAGGTCAATAGAAAGGAATAAGAAGGAATAAGAAGAAGAAAGGAATAAGAAGGAATAAGAAGGTCAATAGAAAGGAATAAGAAGGAATAAGAAGGTCAATAGAAAGGAATAAGAAGGAATAAGAAGGTCAATAGAAAGGAATAAGAAGGAATAAGAAGGTCAATAGAAAGGAATAAGAAGGAATAAGAAGGTCAATAGAAAGGAATAAGAAGGAATAAGAAGGAATAGAAGGAATAAGAAGGAATAAGAAGGTCAATAGAAAGGAATAAGAAGGAATAAGAAGGTCAATAGAAAGGAATAAGAAGGAATAAGAAGGTCAATAGAAAGGAATAATAAGAAGGAATAAGAATGTGAATAATAGAAAGGAATAAGAAGGAATAAGAAGGTCAATAGAAAGGAATAAGAAGGAATAAGAAGGTCAATAGAACGGAATAAGAAGGAATAAGAAGGTCAATAGAAAGGAATAAGAAGGAATAAGAAGGTCAATAGAAAGGAATAAGAAGGAATAAGAAGGTCAATAGAAAGGAATAAGAAGGAATAAGAAGGTGATTAGAAAGGAATAAAAAATAAGAAGGTCAATAGAAAGGAATAAGAAGGAATAAGAAGGTCAATAGAAAGGAATAAGAAGGAATAAGAAGGTCAGTAGAAAGGAATAAGAAGGAATAAGAAGGTGAATAGAAAGGAATAAGAAGGAATAAGAAGGTCAATAGAAAGGAATAAGAAGGAATAAGAAGGTCAATAGAAAGGAATAAGAAGGAATAAGAAGGTCAATAGAACGGAATAAGAAGGAATAAGAAGGTCAATAGAAAGGAATAAGAAGGAATAAGAAGAAATTAAGAAGGAATAAGAAGGTCAATAGAAAGGAATAAGAAGGAATAAGAAGGTCTAAGAAGGTCAATAGCAAGGAATAAGAAGGCCAATAGAAATGAATAAGAAGGAATAAGAATGTGAATAGAAAGGAATAAGAAGGAATAAGAAGGTCAATAGAAAGGAATAAGAAGGAATAAGAAGGTCAATGGAAAGGAATAAGAAGGAATAAGAAGGTCAATAGAAAGGAATAAAAGAAGGAATAAGAAGGTGATTAGAAAGGAATAAGAAGGAATAAGAAGGTCAATAAAAAGGAATAAGAAGGTCAGTAGAAAGGAATAAGAAGGAATAAGAAGGTGAATAGAAAGGAATAAGAAGGAATAAGAAGGTCAATAGAAAGGAATAAGAAGGAATAAGAAGTAATAGTAGTAGTAGTAGTAGTAGTAGTAGTAATAGTAGTAGTAGTAGTAGTAGTAGTAGTAATAGTAGTAGTAGTAGTAGTAGTAGTAATAGTAATAATAGTAATAGTAGTAGTAGTAATAGTAGTAATAGTAGTAGTAGTAGTAGTAGTAGTAATAGCAGTAATAGTAGTAGTAGTAGTAATAATAGTAATAGTAGTAGTAGTAGTAATAATAGTAATAGTAGTAGTAGTAGTAATAATAGTAATAGTAGTAGTAGTAGTAGTAGTAGTAGTAGTAGTAGTAGTAGTAGTAGTAGTAGTAGTAGAAGCCTTGTCGGGATAGTCTTCACTGAAACTTGTCGGTGTAACAAGATTCTTTGTCGTTGTAACAATGACCTTTGTCGTTGTAACAGGTTCTTTGTCGTGGTTACGACCCTCTCTACAGACTGAAGGGAGCCCCTGGACTACTGCGCGTGCGTTTGAAACCCTCGTGATCCTCGCGTTTTCGGGTATGCCGAGCCTCGGGTATGTCCCAAATGCCGACCACACAGAAGCGCACTTCGGGCGGTGGTAGGAAACGACTGCCAGGTAGCACCACCTCACATGCGAGAAGTGTTGCCTTGTCTCTTAGAAATCTGCAGTTGATTGCGCCCCTTGCCCTCAAATGCGCTCAAATGCGCAACCAACATGTGTGAGCCCCCTGCAAAAGCAAGCCAACAGAGGAGCCGGATCGAGATGGAAGCAGGCAGAAGTCCTATCACAGATTTTGGGCACGTTGGAGCGCACAAATGGACCTATGCATGTGTGTACCCAAGCACAGTCCTTGCCATGTCACAAAAACTAGGGCCGTGGGAAATGACCACTTCTGTCATCCAGCCAAAGGCCTTCCCAAAGACCAACCACCCATATAGAGAGGGCATTTCCTTGTATCACAGAAGTGGGGACAACCCCCTGATCCCACAACCCGGGAAGCCATGCAAAGCTCGCTTGCCGCGAGCACGTGGCTGCCCACTGGCCGATCCAAGGGGCAAACTTCCAGCTGACTCGCTGTCCCGCGGTGGCCTCCACCACCTTCTCCAGAACCTGACAGCTGGAGGGAAGTCTCACCGCTTCGATTGGACTGGTGGAGGGTGCTTCTTAGTTGTCGTATTGAAGAGAGAGAGAGAGAGAGAGAGAAACAGCTTCTGGTGTACCAGAGCCACAAACCGGGCAGTTGTCGTATTGAAAATTCCATTTGTTGAACTGGACCATTCTGATTCCAATGAAAGGTGAACGTCACACAAACACACACCGCAATTCCCCTTTTCTCATGAAGCCGCCCTTCATCCAACAGCTCCCCACCCCTTCATCATGATGCCAGTGCCACTACTTGATGAAGCACCCCAGCCCCTCTACAGAGCAGGTCTACCCCCTCCGCACCCGGAGGGGAAAGTTGTCCAGACTTACTCATGAGCGGACACCTCCCAAACTCATTGGCTCACACTCTGGGGTTAAGACATTATGATCCAGCCTTATCATGAACAACTCAACATTCGGCCTCAACAATTGAAGGTCTCCTTTTTCGCACTGTGAACGCCGTTCAATGTGACAAGCAGCAGCCAACACGGGCTCTTGGCCTGTCCAGGGCCAATGTAGTGGTAGCTCTCATCATTCCTCTGATCGTTTTCCTCCTGACGGAAAAGGCACGCGCCACGTACCAAGGATCAAGTGGAGTTATCATTCAGGCGCCAAAATGTGCAAATGACCAGCAATCCCAGCTTCCCTCTGCTTGGTGTTGGGATTGGTCCAGTTGGACGGCAACAGCTTCAATTCCAAGTCCGGCTCAGAAACTCCAGGCAAAAAACCAAACGTCGATGAGCGGTTCATCATCTTCCTGGATCGCCGGCAAGTTCAGGTACTCCGGCGCAAAACATGATTGGGACGGACCGTTGGTGGGTGTCATGTTATGCTGTGAGCGAGTGGAGCGAGTGGGGAGGCCTTGTCAGCCTCCCCTGTTTCCCGTCAAAGTAGAGCAAATAACCCTTGATTGCTGGTTTGGATTCACGTTTGGCATCCAACACGTCGCCTCCAGTCCGAACTGATTGTGGACATTCGTGGCTTGCGTGCTCAGTTGCCTTGCTCTCTCTCTTGTCAGATCCCGTGTTCTGCACAAAACGGAGGAACAACTAAGGGCGAATCCACAGCAAGAAGTTTTGGGGGTGACATGTTAACGCTCGCGGTGAGTTGGCCAACCCTTGGCAACATGTTTACAGTGAAGTTCCAGGGCTCTAGGGGGCCTGTTTGTTGCCTTCAGAGGAAGGCCAATCAATTCCTATGACGTGCTGCGGAACCAAATGCCACGGTCACGTTCTGTCCCTCTGCTTGGTGACTTCAAAACCATTTCACCCCATGTTCACGTGAACGCCAATTGAATTGGCCGCACTTTTGCGTTGATGTTCTAGGACAACCACTAGTGCTGTACGAAGCAAACGTGTTAGGACAGCGTTCTACCATGATTGATGAAGCAGAAGTTCCTTCTACAAAACCCGCGTGAGTGCTTGACAACCTTGTGACCCCATGTTTCGTGCTGCGGACCGCTTGTAGCCATGTTGTTCACTTTTCAGCATGCCAACATCAGAAGTGATATGACGACATGTTGGAGTTGGAAGTTGGGGTTCGTGGGTTTGGTCTGATTGCGCTTATTGGCTTGTACCTTGAGAAACTTGCAGGCCCATAGCTGGTACGGGCTTGCTTTTGAAAGTGCATCAGAAGGGTGTTGGAATGAGCTTTTGTCTTTAGAGGCCTTTGCGGCCGCATCTTGGGTTCAATGCGGGTAAGTGCGCCGCCAGCATAATTTTTCGGTGGAAGACGGCGTGCTATGCTGACACAAAGTCTCAAACGCGGCAAGGCCACAGAAGACCAACTGCCGGGCTTCGATTTCTAGAAAGCCGGCCTTTGTTTCGCATGGCTGCAATTAATGCAGAAAAGCGTAGCTGGAGTGGAGGTTTTGCGCCGGCCCTGAATCTCATCCTTAAACCCCCAGCCTTAAATTCCAACAGTTGGCCTTTCGGGCGCCCACCTCAGGTTGAAAGGGCGGAGTCACAAGAAACAAATCATTGCCGGCACTCTGTGGGTCTTGGTCTGCTTACGGGCGCCATCTCAATGCTTCTCGTATCCCATACAGATCAAGTACTGTAAACCAAAATGTTTGGCCAAAAGGGCCTGCGCTTCCCAAACAAGTTCCCCATAACAGACTTGAACGTGCCGCCAAAGGGATCGCAGAACGTCAACGCAAATATTTGGTCGAAGGGTTTTGCAAGTACTCGAGTACATTTGGCCAAAAGACGAAGCATTTTGAAATCACAAAGCAGGATCCCAAGAAGGTAAACGTAAAACATTTGGCCAAGGGGCTTCAAGTAATCCACCGAGGTGTCTAGAACATGGATATGCGGCAAGCGGCGTTCAAGTTGCCAAGCGGGCTCACCAAAACGTGAACGCAACATGAGTCCAAATGGTTTTCAAGCAACGAAGCGCGGTTCTTGCGATGTTTTTTTCAAGTAATTGATGTAAAGGACTGCAGGGGCAAATGTGTACGCATCCATTTCCTCCCCCCGGCTGTCACACGGATCTCTTCCGGGAAGACCCTCGCTCCTTCACCTTGAAGCGGAAGGCGTCTAAGGCGCGAAGCTGTTCCAGGTCAACGATGCTGAGCAAGTCTGGGTCCTGTGCTGCAGTGCTCCAACGGGCAAAGGCTTCCAGCAGGGCCTGAAACTCAAGACTAACAAAGTTCACCCTTGGCCCCAGTTGGCTTTGACTGATGTCATCTCAGGTCTCAGGATTGATATAGAAATGGTATAAGACTGGGCGCGCTCTGAAGCTCATGAAAACGAGCGTTTGTCCACACAAACCACCTGTTGCTGCACAGGGTGCGACGACAACCCACAACAATACGGAGGCTCCACCCAACTAAAAAGATCAAATCCACCCTGGTGATGCAGCTGCTGCCTTTTTGTCCATGCTCATACTTCTGTACCCTGCTTCGTTTCATTTGTTGCTCATTTGCTTTAAGAATGCCGAAGCAAAGCTCTAAGGTCCCCGTCACATAGAAATTTGGCCGCTAAGAGGAAAGCACAACACAGACTTGCGCCCCTTGGTCATCGCATTGAGGTTTGGAGCAAGCCTTTTAATGCCCTCTCAAAACGAGAAAATGCTGAGCCGAGTCTGATTCCCATATCCCAAAATTATGTTCCGAATGTTTCTCATGCTAAGATGCACTTGCTGGGGATCTCCTGCTCCCCGTTGCCTTTGCACAGGAACCAGTTGTCCACCTGGCATCATCGCCGCCTTTTTCCCCCAGAGGCAACCGGCATCCATCACAGGCAAGTTACCCATTGAACAAAGGCGACCCTCTTTTTGTACGTCAAATAAACTCTGGGGAGCTGAGGTAAAAGACCGAACTGAGTGAACCCCACAGAGCCAGTTACGCAATTGCTTGGGAACCCTAAATGCCTCCACGACTTGGGGACATGGGAATTCCATATCCCGGCCCCTTACCCAGTGACGGTGGAAAGCCTTTTTGGGGTTAAGAGGATTTTGAGGAAACCCGCCAAGCAACGCCAAGCAACATTCTAGGAGTACCTTCCCCATTCTTTCCAGAGATCCTTCTTTTCAGGAAACCATGAAAAACCCAGGGAAAACAGCAGGTTTTTGAAAAGAACCATGCTTGAAAAGAATGGACAAGGAATCAACCAGTAGAAACATGGAGACCTGGACATCCACTGGGATTGCTTTCGGAGCTTTGCTTCCGGAGCCTTGACCTTCAGCGATCGCTTGGCCCATGGAAAGATCTTCTGCATGATCCAGGGAGCATTGATCACCTCACGCATCCGTTGTGGGAAAGCCAAGCTGTGGTGCAGAAACCGCCTCAGCCATCCGCATTTGTTTTCCTTTTTTTTGAGCGGATAGAACCCCAAATAGGCAGCCTTCACGGGTGAGCCCGTTTGATAGCCCATGAAATGCGGTCATAGTTGTTTTTACTTGTTGCGCAAAGCCATGGCATGAGCCACCACCGCCAAGGGGTTGCTGAATGGCTGCCTCAAAATCAAGAATGGTGTGCGTGCAAAGTTGTGAAAGGTGCAAGCACTGGATACTGCAGGTGCATGCTGTTGTGCTGCCTTTGTGCAACTGCCTGGCGCGCCACCCTTTCCCCACCGTGCGAGGCGTTGCAAATTTCTACCCCATGCCTTGCAGCGTCCTTCCATGATGAGCGTCTTGAAAACACAGCGCTTTGTAAAGGATCCGCGCCCTCACGCCCACTGGTGACACATTGATCAGGTGAGACTATGGCAAGACACTCCCGACCCAAGACACCAGGTCAAGCTAGTACCCACTGGTTGTAGAGCCACTCGAGCCCCGGTGTTACAGTAACATGCTTGGGACCAGCCACCAGGGTGCGAACAAATGAAACGAAAACCGAACATGACCAGCGTCTCGGCATGGCATAAGCACCGCCCTGCACCTTTTAACTTGCAACGTTGTGACCTGGCAGGCAAAACTAAGAGGCCAATAAAACCATCGAAACCAGTACCAAAAAAGTGTGGACTCCAAAACCCAATGGCGAACATGGCGGCTATATATAACGTACTTGCATCCTGTGGGGTGCACTCTCAAATGAAGAACTTAAGTTGAAATTGCCATCTTTTGCAAAGGCCAACACGCAACAACACCCACCCTTCGCCCTTTCGCGGCTTCACAACCCCAGATGTGCCAAATCCTTCCCATGCCGGACCCCTATTTTTGCTCCTGTGATCGCTCTGGGTAAGGCGCGCCAAGGTTCAACTTGACCTCTGCTTTGGAGTTGCTCTGCTCCATAACAGCTTCCACCAGCCCTTGTGCCAGACTGCAAGCCAACCGGAAGCTGGAGGCATTCCGTGCCTTGATGTGCAACGAGAGCGGCAGCGTTGCCGTTTCGTTGGTCTCGTGCTTGTTTTTGGAGCCCCGGCCAATCAACGCGATGCGGGCCCCGCTCTGGCGTGCAATGAACTGCATGTGCGCGCCCCCCTTGCCGATCACCTTGCGGCCTGCTGTCAGAAGCGATCGGCCCACCGGGGGCACCCGGAAGTAACCCTCTGTCACCTCGACTGTGGCGTTGCCCGTCCGATCGATTGAAGTGTCCAGTTGCTGCAAGGCCCACAGCGCCGCGACGGCCGCGGAACGTTCTGCCGCCAGCTTGTTAGAGCATGGGGCACCGTGAAAGGTCAGATTCCCCAGCAAGAGCTGTGCCACGTAGTCGTTGTCTGGGCTCTGCCATGTGTTGTACTCACAGGGTGCTGGCGTTTCGCCAAGCAAAAACTCCCTCAGACATGGAGGGCGCGACAACCCAAGCTTGGTGACCAAGCGCCGAACAGCTCCATCCAATTTGCGGAAGCCAGGTTTTGCTGCAAAGTTGAGGCAGCCCCTCCCAGCCAAGCACAGCACAACCAAAGCGGCACACCTCAAGATGGGCCTCATGGCACAAAACGGAGCATGTCAATATATATGTAAATATGTACTATATATATATATATATCATAATTGCAGATGTGTATGTATATATATATATATATATGCTATACACAAAGAAAAGCAGACAAATAAATAAATAAATAAATATATATATATATATACATATATATATATATATTTATATATATATATATGAACCAAATCGGCTAACAACGCCGCCTTCAATGAATCATCCAATGTTGCCAATTGTTTCATCTATCCTTTCGCAGCTCACAGCCCCCCACTGCCTTGAACCGCGCACAGCTTTACTCCCAAAGGCCCCGCGGAGTCCAGCCCCCTGCCCTTCAGCTTCCGAATTGGCGGCTTGGATTGGTGGTTTGGTTCATGAAGGGGGTTCCCATTCTACAAGAAGGGGTTCAAATCCCAAAGCCGCCAATCCAAACAGCCAACTAGGGGTAACCTGATCACTTGCCTTTCAAGTCATCAAAAGAAAAGCAGGGAGGTGGCATCAGGGAGGATCCCACTATTCAACCCGAGCGGCCCAATTGCCAGCAGTCAAATCCGGCACGAGACTCCTGAGCACAGGTCACACAAGGATTAGAGCTCGGCAAAGGCCACCGTGCAAGAGTCCTGCTTGAAGTTAGGCCTTGCCATTTTCGTTCCATGTTTCGTGCTGAGCCACCTGTAAACAAATACAACTTGTCGAACTTCGTCCCAGCGTGTTGTTTGGGTGACAAGTGGCTTCCAACAATCCGTTCTAGGGTGCCACACAACTGGCTGGCCCGTCACGCAAGCCGGCCTGTTTCTGTTGGAACCAGGTTGAGCCATCCCGGTGTCTGCCTTGCCACACCCCTCAAAGCAAGCCAAGTCCACTTCAAATATCATATCATATATCAGCCTAGGAGCTCTAGTCGTTGCATCATCTTCTCAGCTCGTCGGTCGAATTCTTTGCATATCACCTGGAGCTGGAAAAATGTATTAAAACTCTTGTCCCAAGTTTTTTTCATTGCAAATCCAAGCGGCGGTCTTCATAAGCATCTTCCCCAATAGCATGCCTCTTTAAGTGTATGAGGTCTGATGTGTATACACCGCTTCAATTTTTTTGCTAACAAATTGACTCGGCAAAATTGCAGGGATCTGCAGAAAGAAGAAATGCAAAATACAGAAATGGGCCACTCCTGCTCCAGGCAGTTTGGGGGCATCTGCGGGCTGCGCGTGACTTGTGCGGGACTTGCGCGAAAACCTGTTGATCTTTGGGCCATGGTGATTAAGATGATGATGAATCATCACTGCGTCACTTGCGCTTCACTTGCGCTTTACTTGCGCAGTCCCATGTTTGACTTGCGCGGCCGCTCCTGCAACACACTCCTGCCCTTCAAATTACAAGCGGCGGTGCAGCTTGTTTGATAGGTCCGGAACAACTGGGATCATGCCTTACATTGACACATACAACGTTCTTTTTTTCCGGCTCGGATTTGATTCGGGTTTACAAAACAGTCGTCGCTTACTTGATATATATATATATATATATAAGCGGCGGCGAGACCCCAGGACGGCGCGCGAGATTGATGAATGAGCCAGTCATGAATCCCGAAAAGGGATTTGCAATAAGTCGACCAAAGCGTGCCAGGTGACCCAGCCCTGACTACCCTCACAGCCCCTTTGCTGGCCTTGGACAAGGTGCAGCCTGTGACGTCAATGATATTCACCACCTGGGCAACCGTTGCCGTCGCGAATCGAAGCCGTGCCGAGTCGCATATTTCTCACCAGGTTGAGGCATTCTCTCTGCACCCCTCTCCCATGTTGCAAAACTATTGGAAGTTTCGCGCCCAGGGAAATCATTAGATCCCAGCTGAAATTCGTGCAATCCATGGCAATCCATCAATGTTCGAACGAGCTGACCTAAATCAAAGGCCGTCCCAGGGACATAGTACAAACATATTTAGGGTTTGTCAAAATGGGCGCCCCAAAATGGTTTTGTGTTGGTCTTGATTGCCAACAAACGATGACATACTGCAGATGGACGAAATCCTTCTCCACTTGGTATTTGCAGGGGAATCCTCATTCCAAGGTTTCTTAGGTGGTGCAGGATTTCGTCCATCCATAGTATCTTGAGATTCTGCTCCTTCAGCCCGTGGAGAAAAACCAACTCGACACATCCATCCCGATCAAAGGCGCTCGGCAAAGCCTCTGCTGGCGCTGGCTTAGTCGCTCCAGCTCGAGAGCTCTCAGTAGCCACCCGTGCAGAACAAACCGCTCATAGCCTGGGTTGGGTGACACATGTCACAGGGGTCTCATACATGCTTTCCTTTCGGATGTTACTGCCCTGAAGGGATCGGCTTCTAGACGATGCTAGATAGCTTTCCACCACCCAAGCAACTTCAGGGTGGCAGATAGATGGCACAACTCCTTAGTCTTGCCCTTTACTTGCCGCATGGGGATTTGGTATCCTGCACCTGGGTAAATAAATGATTGAAGATCAGCTGAACTCATCTACACCACTGTTGTTCCAGCATTCTCATGTTGTTTCCAAAGGACCTAGGAGTTTGGGGCTTCTGAGTGTTCAATTACTGCGTCTAACCCTTTTGGGTTCTAAGCCCCCTGTTGGGTTAATGCTCAAACACCCTCCTGGCCTGCGCCAACTGCTGTGCAAGAATCCTTTGTCTTGGTGTCCTTTTCAAGGATTCTCTGGGTTGCCTGGAGTTTTGCTTTGGTCATTCCATGAGTTCAAGGGCTCCCATGTGATGTCCCGTCGATGTTCCATGGATGTCTCATACATGTCCCACGGATGTCCCATGTGGCATGGAAACTCCTGGCTTCAGGTCATTGACTCATTTCCAGGGGTGCTTGTGCATACCCCTTCTACCCTTAGAACAACTGCCTCAGCCCTCTCCCAAAAAGTGGTATATACCCCTTATCAAGTGGGATTCCAGGGAAAACAAGGGGTATGAACCAAGGATCATCGCAACCGATTGAGGCAGTGCCTTTTCCTCGCACAAACTCCAATGGCCGACGCATATCGGGCTGGTGCCTGCCGGGGGGGGGGAGAGAGATGTCATGGCTCTGCTTCGCTTATGATTCTGTAGTGAGCATGCCGGTATCAATGCAGAGAACTCTAAGAACATTCAGTATCAGCAGCGTCTTTGGTTGCACGTACATGTGTGGGCGTGTGCCTGTGGGTCCATTCCTGCCTAGGGGAGTTCATGTGCAATATATATATATATATAATTATATATACATATATATATATTATGTGTGTGTGTGTGCGCCTGTGTCTGCGTCTGCTTTTTTTTATGTGTGTGTGTGTGTGTCTCGGTGTGCTCTGTCTGTATCTCCGTGCATCTCTGTTGCGCGTGTGTTTGACGTCAGTGTTTCTGTGCGTCACATCTGCGTCTCTTTGTCTCTGTCTCCGTGGGCCGTGTCTCTGCTCGTCTGCCGTAGCTCGTTCACAGGCCGGTTAGACTCATCCAGTCCAAAGGCGCAATGAAGAAGGAGATGAGCGAACAAACACTAACTGAACAATGTTGCACCGAGCGTCGATCAAAGGCGCCTCTCGCCATCACTTGCTGCTTGTTGAGCTCTCCCAGCGGGTAAAAGCTGAGTGGATCGCCACTCCTCACCATGGGATCACCAAAAGGGCAACCGTTGTTGTCTTCAGGGTGCTATGGATCTCGTCACGGCCCATGCAACGCCATGCTCCCTGCCGGACACTACCAAACAAAGCCTTTAAAGGCAGAGGGCTCCAGGCAAAGAACTGCGTGAAAGGCCACCCAGTCAGGCATTGTGACTATGCCATGTGGAATCTACGCCCCCTGCTTCAAGAAGCCTCCGAGCATATGTTTTTGAATAACTCAATCAACGCCTCACTTTGCACCATGTCGCAGTGCATTTTATGGCCCAGCCCCCATTGCTAGAGCAAGGCGGGCTCAACTAGCATGGCTTTCGATTTCTTTAAACTTCCGAGCATCTTCGTCAGCTGGTCCGCGTTGAAAATCAGGGACACGAATTCACTGACCTCCTGGAGGCCCGGCAAGTCCTCCGTTCGCACCATGCGGCCCTCCTTCTCAATGTTATCCAACCTCTGGACCAAGTCCGGGACGACCTGAACAAAGGCACAAGGGAAACCGAAGACACTCAGCTTCCCCACAAAAGCCAGAGGTTCAAATCCCCAAACCACCATCAATCCACCAACTAAGGGTTAGCCGAGAAGCCGCCATGACTCGATGGGAAGAGACAACCCAACCGAATAGCAAAAACACGCAGCCAATGCGGAAGTTCACAATAGTTCAGAAGCACAGCTCGTCTACCAGCAACGAAAAGAATCGCATTGGACGAGATTTGCTTTCCCTTGAACACACTCCAAGCAGAGTACCTTTGGGATAGCACCCCATCCCCCCGCCCATCCCCCCTTTTTTCCTTGGCCCCCAAGAGTGCCTCTACTTTCTGGGAGCCCCTCGACTTTCGCTTGCAAGGCACGTCATCTCCCTTGAGTTCTCGGAAGGTCTCCAGGAAGGCGTCCATCCATTTGCAGGATGCCTTGGGATTTGTCCCGGACCTTCCTGGTGCCTTGGGAAAAGGACCAACAGGTCCCTTCAGCCTGGGCCGCGAACTGAGTTTTAGAAGATCGGCTCCGGTGACACCGAGCACTTGTCCACTATGGGAAACGGCAAGAAGAGGACTCAACGGGGCAAGCAGTGCACAACTATCTGCACAGCAGCGTGGAGCATGTCTGTTTTCCTCGCTCAAAGGGGCTGGTTGCCCGACACTCATATCAAGCCAGGTCTGACAGTGCAACCACACGCACATAGCACCTGCAACTATATTGACAACTATACCGACTAGAACACACACACACACATATATATATATTTATTGCATAATGTTGATAGACGGTTGTTTTTATTGAAGAAGTACATGTACATGTTGATCGCAGCGGTCTTGCATTTCCAGCCGCGCCAGAAAGTCTTTGTGGTGCTATACGCCACAAACTTTGCCTGCATGCCTAAAGCATATCAGGCCGGAAGGGAATGCCACTAAACGGGCCCGAGCATACAGCCTGCACTCCTGACCGACATCAGGGCAGGGCCGCATACGTCCAAGGCCGCAGATGCAAACAAAAATCTAATGGCATCCTCCCTTCTTCCGCCCCGGCCGGAACTGAATCCGCATGGGTTGGGTAGGGTGGGAGCAAGAAAGCTATCAGGAGGGCGGCTCGGCTTTCAGCGGATCCTACTCACAACATGCTTTCTGCTTCACATGACTGTTGCACATGCTTCCATGTTGATCGCAGCGGTCTTGCATTTCCAGCCGCGCCAGAAAGTCTTTGTGGTGCTATACGCCACAAACTTTGCCTGCATGCCTAAAGCATATCAGGCCGGAAGGGAATGCCACTAAACGGGCCCGAGCATACAGCCTGCACTCCTGACCGGCATCAGGGCAGGGCCGCATACGTCCAAGGCCGCAGATGCAAACAAAAATCTAATGGCATCCTCCCTTCACGTTTCCTTCCTGGCTAAAAGCCGTCAAGGTTTCAGTCTACGCAGCAAGAAATGCGCCAATTGGCGTTGCTCGGCAGTGAGTTGCAAATGGCTTACTGTCGCCACTGCGTCCTGCAAATAGATGCGCGCCGTGTGGGCAGTGCTCCAGCGTCCGCGAAGCAAGGTGCGCTCCATGCTTTGGTGATGCAGGAAATCCCACGTGGCGCCGCCACGCCGCAGGCTGTAGACTGTCAAGAGGCCTTCTGCGTTGAAGAACCCTGTCATGGCATGAAAGAGCTTTCGAAAGAACGCCGGGCCCTTGCTGAGCAGGCGCTCTTCCTTGCTTCTGCCGCTGCACGCTTGCTTCAGCCACTTGAACGCCAGCCGGCTTTCCACCACCACCATTTCAGAGTGCCCAGCGCGTTTGCCCGCCTTGCTTTGATTCAAGTTCAGGACAGCACGATTGCGCATAAACTTGACATCTTTCACCTTCAAAGTATAGAGCTCGCCTGAACGGAGCATGCAGTCAAAGGCCACAAGGAGCCCCGCCGCCTCATTGATAAAACCCAGTGTAACTGCAGCTCCTGCAAAGCCCAAGACAAGCAAAGGGCTAACTGGCAACACCCGCATAGGAGGTTCTAGCCGTTGCCAAACTTTTGCAAGTTTCCACGAATGCTTCAGTTTTCCGACTGACGACGGCAAGTAGAATTGGAGGCCTGCTAAACCATCACTTGCAAGGGATTTGTACTCACCTTCCGAGTACGCGTGCTCTAACCATGCGCCAACAGCGGTATCCAAATCTTCCCAGGCCGGCACCTGGATCTGACACTCAACTAGGAAGGTTAATAAGCTGAGGACTGCCTTTCTATATCGGGCCTGCATCCCGGCCGTCACCATTTGCTCTTTCAGAGTCGCGCCAGCTCTGGCACGGCGGCGCTTGAGTCTTTCCCCGTCAGAGAGCGTTGTCCGCCCCATCTTGACGGGATGTCGCTAGGGTTGCAGTCGGTTGCAACGTATCCTACGACAAGAACAAGGCCTGACGCCAGTAGCAAAGCATTAAGTTGAGCTAACCCTCTTCTGAGCCGAAAACTGCTAGTGCGACCTTTGGTAACAATGGCGCACACAACCTGACTGTCAATAAGATGCAGGACTCGCTGGGGTGCAGAATGTTGTCTGCGAAGCCGCCACTTCACCGAGTTAAGGACAGCTTGAAGTTCAAGTGCGTTTATGTGAGCCGCAGTTTTCCAGGGGTAGCCGTGAACAACACTCCAGTGAAACAAGGAAGAGTTGATTCCAGAACGGGGCCAAGCCTGCATGCGAAACGGGACGCCAACATCCAGTCGGATGTCTGTTCCTCCCTTCTCGGCCTGGCGTATGAAGTGTAGGACCAGCTGCGCTGTGTCGGGAGTCTCCAAACCGCGAGGGACGAAGCGCGGGTACAATAGCCAGCCGGCACTGGCAACTTGCCGGGCGGCTACCAGCTTCTCCAAGTTTCGAACGGGCTCCAGCCCAAATTGCACGAGCAGGCTATGCAGCAAAATGGTAATGACGCAAACATGAGACGACCTCCCCACCAAGGTCCCCACCAGGTTAAGAACTTCGCTCGGGCTGCATTTGGGGCTAATGGCCTGTGTAATGTACCCGCGATCAAATCCCATCAAAGCTTCACGCTCGCTGGCCGACGGAAGGCGCAGCGCCTGGTCAGGACCTGTGACCATGTTCTTGGCCTCATAAGTGCTAACTGGAAATCGGAAATGGTCTTCTGTCCAGCGGCGAATGGCCTCTTGGCTTGCCAAGTCCAGATCCGCCATAACGCTGGGGTTAGGCTGTTTGCGGTAGTGGGGGCAAGTGAGCGCCGGCAGCCAGCCGTTGCTTTCTCCGTTCCACACGGAATTAACATCCAGCCATGAAGAAGCGTCTTCTCTGCAAAGAGGAACCCGCAGCTCCTTGTAATCCCCCCAGTTTTCCATGTGTTCGCCCTGCAGCGGAAACACCTCCCATGAGCACCAGAAGAGGCGTGGCCGGTGGCACCAAGAAACCCATTTTGCGTCCAAAAGAACAGGCGTGGTGCAAAGCACACGGCTGAAAAGGTTTCTATGTTCCGCTGACATGTCGAAGCTGCCTTCGACAAAGTAATGGACAGGCACGCTGAAAATGTCCCGCAAAAGGTCAAGCACCCGAGACAACTCGAAGAATCGACGGGGCGCCTCCCCTTGAAGGCTTTCGCGGCTAGGGCTGCCTGCCCCAACAAGTACCATGTCCAGCCCGTGATTTATGCTCGTGTGGAGTTGCTCCAACACGTGGCGATCCACGTTGCTGATGTCTCCTAGCTCGATCAGGCCAGGCCACCGGCGGCGCAGTAGGCGTTTGGCGGCTTTGTCCGCCTCGGCACTGGCAAATCCAACAACCTGACACGGCAACCGGGTGAGTGCGCACACAGCTGCCCCGAGACCATCAAACAGACAAATTGCAAGAATCCGAAGACCGTTTCCAGCGTTGTAAGTAAGAGCACCAGCGGGTCTGAACGCCGGCACGTCCCCTGCTTCCACGTTGGCGAGCATGGCCTTGCCTTCCTGCGTAAGCCCCGCGCTTGCGCAAAGCCCTGCCCCGTGGAGCGAGGCATCCGAACAGGTCACCATGCCACTGGGCTCTGTCCTGAGGGAGCCAACCGCCAAGGGCAAACATCCTAGCGCCCGGATCAATTCCCGAATGGCAGCAGCTTTCAGTGAGCGCCTGAGAATCCAGTTTTGTCGGGGCCACACATCGTTCAGTAACCCCATCAATGGCCTGCGGAACTCAAAGCACCTCACAAATCTGCCAAGGACCATAAGAAGAGATTTTCGGCCTACAGCTGGCTGCGACAGGAGCCACACACACATCCAGCCGCATTCTAGGAATTTCTGCTCAGGAACAGAAACGAAGCCTTTATCACCATCTATGTGGGCCCCCATTCGGTTCACTGCAAGCTCTCGGACGTGGGCTTTATCCTGTGAAATCCCCACGCCTTTGCGGGCATAGGCTTCTCGCTGTCGACGATGAGTGGCGGATAAAATGCCCCGCAAGCGCTGCCAATCCGTGCGGTCCACAAATTCCGGAGCATCGAAGTCGTCCAAATAGTACTGGATCCAGCCACCTCCTTCTGCAACAGCACTCCCGGGCACAGGACGATCACGCCGCCATTCCCAGTCAGGTGGCAAGCCGGCACCGGCCGGCACCGGCGAGAGCCCTAGCTGCCTGTGCAAGTGCTGGAACAAACTCACGGCATTCTTCCATCCCATCGGGATGACTGCTGAAGCGAGGAAAACTTCTCTTTGATCGGGGCAACCAACTACATGACCAGGAACAGGCCAGCGAAATGCCATGAAGGGGCGCCAGTCGGCAGGAAGTGCCCACGCGTAGTACGCCCCGCGTTGATCGTCCCCAGACCACAGCAGCACCTGTGAGGGCCGAAGGTAAGCTGCGGTCCACTGCGAAGAAGCACTCAAAGTTGGCAGATCACCTACCATGAGACGCTGGATGGAATTTGATGGGACACAATTCATGATGAGGCGCGTGATTCTGTGCTCACCGGGCGCCGCCACGCCCTTCTTCTCAACAGTGAAAACACCATTAAGCAGAGGCTCCCCTCGCACTCGGAAGATAGATTCCCGGTCAATGGGCGCCAGAATCTGTTTTTCAACCAAGACCCTAGCCACCTTGCACCATTCCTCCCTGGTGCAATTCATGGACGCTGTCGGCAAAGGGTCAGGCCACTGCTCTTCAGGAAGTATGCATTGAGAAGGTTCCAGCAACCACGATCTCACCTCCCCCCTGGCAACCGACGCTGCCTCGAGAGAACCAGCCACTCCATCAGCTGGAAGTCCAGGCAATATCTCGCCGAGCCTTCGGCGTTTAGCTGCAGGAGTGGGGCGCCACTCTAATAGCCCTTCAGGGGTCCGGCAACATAGTTCAAGCAACTGAAGGGCAGCTCCTATTGGTGGCAGAGGCAAGGGTAGCAAATCCCTCTGTCGAAGAATAGGCGCGGCTGCTTTTTGCGTGTAATTGCAAAGACATGATTCAAGGAGTTGCCCATCCCGCGGGCTGAAAAATAGGAGCTGCAGCGCTGTAATTCCCAATTGCAAAATACTTTGTGAACCAGGAAGTCCGGCTGAAAGCAAAAACCCAACGCTTGGTCTACGCTCTTGAACAACTTCCCCTGTCAGCAGCTGTAGCAGCTTGAGCGCAGGCTGTTGCTGCCCCGCCTCCCCCAAGCCGACACTTGGGTCTGTACAGCGGCGGTTGATTTGCTCAGGCTCGTCAAAAAGGACCGCCTCCCCCAAGCCACCGCTTGGGCATGCTTGGCAGTTGGCTTGCTCAGGCTCGTTAAAAACCGCCGGGCCGACACCCGGAACCGACCCCTGGCCGACACCAGGAGCTGGAGATAGCACCGAGATCAGTTCTGGCCTCGGGCTGTCTTGAAAACCCGATCCTTCCAAGCCTTCCTCGGCTCGCCCTCCATCCGAGGGGTTTGGCTGCGAGCAGCTGAGAGACCTAGTTTTTTCGGCTCCTCCGTCACGGCCTGGTCCGCAAAAGTCACCCGGCGATCTTGTCCCTGTCGATCTGGCTTCGTCTTCTTTGAAGTTCCTCGCCTCCTCGTGAGGGGAGGGCGACTCGGGGAGTGCCCCGAGCTTGGAAGGCTTGCGGGGGCGTTCTTGGGCTGAGGGTGAAAGGGGTCGCGCTGAGGAACCGGATCGCCCCGCTCCGGTTCCCCGCGGAGTCCCTAGCACGAGCCCTTCAGCAGGGCATCACTCTTGGCAGCCTTAACCGCCAGCTCTCGCGCAAAGAAGGTTTCATCACTGGTCACCCCAAGGCCCTCCTCCGGAATGAGCTCCAAGTAATGGCCAAAGTTGCCGGTACCATCACGAAGGCCCATGACCAGACTCTTAAACCGTTGCACCAGGGTGTCGGCGGCCGAGTCCACCTTGCCCCTGAGCAGGCAGTCAAGTGCCTGACACAGGGTGCGGAGCTCCCTGTACCTCTCTGTCCCGTTGAGCTTGGTGGGAAAGCTCGGCATCACCATGGTTAACAAGTACCGAACCATCACCGGTGACAAGGGGTCAGCCGAGTCCTCACCCATCATCGTGCGTGCAAGCTTTTCAGCGTGGTGAGGAGGAGCTTGCCAGGCTTCTCCTCGGCCAGCTTCCGGAGCTTTCGGCGCCGGGAAGGCCAGCCAGTGAGGGAACTCTCGTCCTCCTGGCCGTCGTCCTCAACGTCCTCAGTCTCGTCGTCGCTGTCCTCCTTGTCCCTAGAGCCCCGGCCGCCACCAGGGCCCAAAGCCTGCTTGAGCTGGCGCAGGACGTCCTCCCCTGCCTTCTTCTTCTTTCTGGGCTTCTGGCTTGCCTCGACGGCACGGGCGGCCAGCACCGCCCCTGTGCTCTTTCCCGTCTTCGTCTCGGCCTGCTTGCCCTGAAGCTGCGCGCGCAACAGCTCAAGACGATCCTCCACCTTCTTGCCGCTAAGGCCTGGCTCACCTGCGCCCGCTGTGTCGGCGGCTCCACGCCCGTCACGGGCCTTTGCGGCCTGTTTCCGGGACCGCTTGAGCGGGGGCAGCTCCTCTTCGTCGCCCCAGTCCACCTCCAGCTCCTCATCTTCGGCCTTAGGCGCGGGTAGGCTCTGCATGGCTGCAGGCTTCTGCGCTCGAGACTTTGGGGTAGTCTGGAGGGCGTGAGTAGACTGGGCTGGCTCTGCACGAAGTCCTGGCAAGCCCCAACCACGAAGGATGTCATGGGCCTCTTGCCTGGTTACGGGGCACCACTTCTGAATGTGCACGACATGTGGCTGTCGATGGGCTCGGCCGCAGCGTGACACATGCCGCCTGCACAGATGATGCAAGCAGTCTTTTGGAAGACCGCCCTGCTTCCCTTCATTTTGGATGTACCATCGGTAGTACTCGTCATCGCAACCCTCGTAGGCCAGCTGCAAGTAGGCACCATCCGAATCCTTCTCGTATCGGCTTAGGACGCGGCCAATGGCGCAGCCCAGCTCTTCACTGCGGTCCCCATGGACCGCGAAGCAAAGGTAGCTCTCCAGATTCTCAAATGCAGCTGTAAAGTTGAGCTCGCTGCAGGAGCTGCCGTCCACCAAGGTCGGCAAAGTGACTGCTGGCCCGTCACCAGCAGCCCTCCTCCGCCGAGACATGGCGCATGGCCTACTCCTGCTCCTGCTTGAGGAACGCCACCTCGAGCAAGAAAGCTATCAGGAGGGCGGCTCGGCTTTCAGCGGATCCTACTCACAACATGCTTTCTGCTTCACATGACTGTTGCACATGCTTCCATACACCATATTTATCACATCCACCTGTGCCCTCAGACTGCTGCAACGTCAGCAGGACGGTTGAAGTGAGTGCATTCATTCGTCAAGCTGGTGGTAGTGGGATGCTTGGTTGCAATAGCCATGCCCTGATTGACGGGACGTTTGGAGTGTGATGCTTGATCAAAAGAACCAGCCCGAGCTGGGTAACCACGCTCTACTGCTACGACGTGAATCCTAAATCATAAAGTCAGCTGTTGAACAAAGGGCTCCGCCAACAAGTAACGAATTCACAAGGGCGATGGATCAACACCGCCTTTACCAATCAGGTTCGCAATGATTGACTCCAGGGCCACCCCGCTGTTGTGCGAGGGTTGCTTTTTGGTGCTTGAAATCGACTCATGGGTGATTTTCAAAACAAGCCCCCTAATGGCTGGATTCCTTCTGCCCCCCCGTTTCAAGCAAGGGTTGAAAAACAGCCCGGCGGCTCCTTCCTTGCGGGGCCTTTCGGGGCCCAGATGCTGACAAGAAGCCTCGAGATCGTGGTGCTTCCTGGGTGCAAGGGACTCATTGCTCTCAGGCCCAGCCCCGGACGTGGCCATGTAATTTTTTGGTGTCCAAAGATGGCAGTCATTGACACGTCAGCGGATTGGACTGGCTGCTAAGCACATTAAAGCCATTGTGCAGCCCTTAACAAAAGCCGACAGCTTGCACCTGGTTGCCCATCCCAACTCCCGCGACTCCAAAAAAACCAGGGCGCTGCCGCAGAATTCGGCAAATCGCCAGGTCCCCGAAGAGCGCGTCGTAGAGCTGCCCTGCTGAAGCGGCCGAACAAATACGCATGCGCCCATGACAAACACATAATTTGGGTTTGGACCTCGCAACCCCAGCCCAATTTCTCAAGGGGCCTCCATAACATCAGTGATTGGAAAACTCCGTTTGTTTGCAAAATGTGGTTTGGAACCTCCAACCACCAGAGGTCTTCAGAGATTACCTGAAAGAAGGGAGACCATGGAGACCCAAGCAACAGGCCTCGTTCTACTCCAGGCAAGGTCCGAATGGATCACTGGAAACATGTCGAAAAATGAGGGTCAATAATTATGTCAGAGTCACGCGACAAGCTTCAACTTCAATCGATTCCTTGCCTGGTCTGGGAACGAGCTGAGCATAGGTTTTGCCGCACGTGCGAGGGTCACTGGCGTGGGCTGCACATGTCTTTTCTCGAATGCGTTGTCAAGGGTTCTTCCGGTAAGATCGCCCGTTTCTTGCACAGAGAGACGGGCAAAAGCGCAACATGTCAAACAACACACAAAGACTGCGCAAAGCGCAGCTCTTCCGTCGTGCGTAAACGTGAAACATCACGCTGAGATGTTGCAAAAAGCTGCAGTTTGCCGAGTGTTCAAGATTCCCGCGCAACCCCTGCGGGGATTCCACGATCAATGGGGTCGATGTGCAACAACTACCCAGCAGACTGAAAACCGCGCGTGTCTTGCTCATCATTTGAGCTGGAAAAAAAACCGTATTAAAACTCTTATCCCAGGATGTTTTCATTGCAAATCCAAGCGGCGGTCTTCATAAGAGTGAGGTCCCCCAAAACATGCCCCTTAAGTGTATGAGGTCTCAGGTGTGTACACCGCTGCAAATTGTTGCTGGCTGCTGCTGCTGCGGCTGCTGCTGCTGGCTGCTGCTGCTGGCTGCTGCAACTCATTGCTGGGATCTGCAGAAACAAAGAAAATGCAAACTACAGAAATGGGCCACTCCTGATCCAAGGCATCTACGACTTGCGCGCGACTTGCGCGCGACTTGCGCGAAAAATTTAGCAATCTTCCGGATTCTTTCGACAATGCGGATGATGATGATGATGATGATGATGATGATGATGATGATGATGATGAATCATCACTGCGTCACTTGCGCTTCACTTGGGCTCTACTTGCGCGGCCCCATGTTTGACTTGCGCGGCCGCTCCTGCAACACACTCCTGCCATTCAAATTACAAGCGGCGGTGCAGCTAATTTGATAGGTCCAAAAGACCTGGGATCATGCCTTACATTGACACATACAACGGGTTTTTGTTGTTCGACTCATTTGCAGTCGTCAACCTCATTTGCCACTGGTCAAGAAAGCGTCAACAACAAAATTTACAGAATCATCCACTACGTATGCACTTCAATTTCCTTTGCCAAACAAATAAACAAATGGCAGCTTCAAGAACAACGAGTCGGGCACCTAAAGAATACGCTTGGCAGTCGAAAACAAGTCCAAAAGCTTTGCTTCCCTGCCCAGCAGATGTTCGAGCCCAGGATCTCAGTGGTGGATACAGTGGATACACTGCTGAGCGGGCGTGCTTTCCATTTGTAAGCAAAGGTGCTTGCGGCGTGGTCGATGTGCAAAACCCCGAGCGCTTTACAGCTTTGCAACATCTACGCGCGACTCTCTGCATGAATCGGCGTGGACGATGTGCAAAAGCCCGTGTGCTTTGCTAGATTTCTGTGCTCAAGGATGAGTCTTCACAAGTGGTCTGTCTCGTTCATTATTTGCGAGAACTTACGCGGACAAGCTTGCATCAATAGCTCGCAGCTTGCATAGAGAGAAACTTGCTTGCAGGTGTTGCACAAAGAAATCGTGCAGAGAGACGTTGCACGGAAAGCTTGCTCATTGAAAACTTGCACAACAAATGCACAAAGACACACACACACACACACAAAGCAGCTTGCGCAAAGAACTTGCACACGAAGAAACTTGCATGGAGACGTTTGAATACAGAATGAGAATCCACGTGGGAATGTTGTGAACCTGGAGATTCATTCTCCGGCCTTCTCCTAGGCGTTTTGGCTTTCTGGTAGTGTTGGGTGTGTTGGGCGTTCTAAGTGATTTCTAGGAGGTTTGGGAGACACCAAAACACCTAAAAACGTGTTGTTCCTCTTAAAAAAAAACAAAACAAAAAACAAAAAAAACTATGCCGGGTTTTGCTGGCGTGTTGAAGGTAATTCTGGGCGGGGAAAACCTACAAAGGGAGCAATTCTGAAATCTGACGTGCCAAATCAACAAAATATAGGACTTTTTAGTAGTTTTGGGCGACTTCACCCCCCCCCCCCCCAAAAAAAAAGAAAAGAAAAGGGGCAACCTGCAAGGCCCTGAGACACAAACACAGGCTCGCCGGTCCTTGCTGCTCTCGTCGTCGGAACTCCTCCTTGAAGTGGTCCTTGATCTTGGCGATCACCTCCTGTGCGCGCAAAGCGCCCGGCTTCGTCTTCGATTCGACCTTTACCAGCTGATTTAGATGGAGCATCTCCTATTCTTTCTTGCATGTGATGTTTTGTGTTTGTTACGGATGTATACTTCAAACAATGGGTACTATCGTTACTATAGGGTTGTGGAGGAATGTGGAGAGTAGCCGAATAGTTGTTTCAAAATAGTTTAGATGAATAGAACCGGGGGGTGGTCAGCCTGGGTGATAGAACAATTATGTGCACTTGCTTAGCCCTCATGTTAGGGGGCAAATGGTTGCTGATTCACCGCGCAAGGGCCCCTACCCCAAACATCTACCCAAGGGCAAAAAGGGCCATACAGCGACTCTAGACACGACGCATCAAAAAACAAATACGATATGACAAACCTACTCTGATTTTCCTTCGGGGCAATTGGTGTGTTTAGGGTAGTTGGAATCCTCTCTGTAGTCACCCCCATGGCTGCCCCAGCCATGGCCGCTCCCAGTGTTCAGGAAATCCTCTTCAAAATGTGGGGCAAGCCCTGACCTGTACACGTTCCCAGGGCTATGACTTCAAGTTGCGACGAGATGCGCAGGTTTCCATTAGCAGTGGATTCAGTGGATGCTGGAATTTCCGGTGGCAACCACAAACATGCTTCCATTTCAAGCGGGACCTCGGCTTTTGAGCCAACTTCTGTTTGCATATTCGTCCTGCTCGTCCGGCCCCGGCAGCGCATCAGATGTCACAGAGGCCATCAAGCCATAGCGATGCGCTGGCGCTGGGCTGTCACTGGCTGCAAAGTGTCAAACGGATGAGTGTAGCAGGCACGCCCCTTTCCCCAGGAATTCAGGGGGCAAGCGAGCTTGCTGAAATTTCACGAAACTTCCCCGGCCGCACAATCCACTGACTGCAGTGAATCACCATCAGCAATGGACAGCATGACCGGAGTCTATGGTTCATTGGTGGAAGTCAGGCACAAACTGCACAGCCATTGTCTTCACAAAACTTGCCCCGCTGCTAGTCACCGCTAGTCACATGGTCTTGTACGCGCTCCTGCGCGGTTCAAACTGCTTGGGCCATTGGCCAGCACATTCGCCGTTGCAAGCAGCGGGAGGTGAACGACGCAAGGCCCTGCCAACGGCACAAGAGGAAGCCAACCAGGTGGCAAGCAAAGAGAGCCAACCTGACCGGGCCATGGCTAAAATTGAACCCAGGATAGCAACAATTGAACCAAAGGGTCGGCTTTGGACAACAAAGCGCTTGAAGATCTTGAGGTTTCACCACTTGCGGGTCATGTTAGGCCGTATCATCCACGGGTTCCTTTCAAAATGGCTCACTCCCGCCCACTGACCCTTCGACCATCCAACTGGCCCTTCGATGGCCAAGGGCGCGACACATAAGGCGACACCATACGAGCGTCGGGGCCTGAGGCAAGCGAGGCGTTTTGGAATGCCTGGAGGGTATTTTCCGCGTTTTCGCCTGGATGTAGTTCGGTGGTGGCAATCATTTTGGCGATAGGTGAAACCGTACGAGTGAAAGGATTGATCAATCGCTCTGAACACGTGGAAGAGAAACGCTTTGGCCTACAGCTGTGGGAACTGACGTGCATTTTTAGTTTTGCTTGGCTCAGCACACAATGGTGTCGAAAGTGTAGTGTTGAACGTGTAGTGACTGCTG